AAAGTTTTCTGCTTTTTGTTGGCCAGGAGGGATGATGGCAAGAGGGGCCTTGGTTTTGCTGAAAAAGGCCCCCCAGACCATTGTCAAGGTCCTGCACTCTTGAAGGTGGGTACGAGGTTCTTGGGGTTGTGTTTGTTGCCCCGCTTGCGCCAAACGACAACCTGTTTTGAAGATTTTCCAATCTCAAACAACAACTCATCCTTCCGGAGGACCATTCGCCAGTCTTTGTGTCGCTTTGCAAATTGAAGTCAGCATCTGTGGTGGGTCTTGTTCAGGAATGGCTTCCTCACCACAACCCGGTTATTGAAGCTCATTTTGTGGGCTCGGCGGCGGGCGGTTTTGGTTGAAATCGGCATGGTCAGGATGTCTTTGACCTTGGCCATCTTCATTCGGGGATTGTTGTTGAGGACCTTCTCCAGCTCGCAAAGGTCCCGTTCATTGGTCATGCGCGGTTGTCCGCTTTTGGGGGCTGTCACAACAGTACCGCGCTCGGCCAATCGAGTGATGATTGCCAAGATTGTTGTGCGGCCAATCCCAAGCTGAGATCCAATGGCCGTGGGCGTCATCCCAGCGTCCGACATGCCAACAATTTTGGCCTTCTGCTCCGTTGAGAGATGGCGCTTGGCATTTTGGTTTTGAACCATCTAAAAAAACACAACAAAATAGAAAAAAAAAGTCAGTTTTGATCTGTTTAAGAATCAAATGGGGCTTACTATGATCAGGAAGACTCCTCTTTTGGTTCCGAGGCTGCAAGAAGGTGGCAAAGTGTTGTGTGGTGTGATTAGATTTGATGATTGGAGTGGTTGACCTGGTTGATCACTCCAATCACCCCAAGTTTGACAAGTCAGTGCACCCCAGGTTCACCTGGGATGTCACTGATTTTTTACCCCCATTAGCCCACACCAAAAATTACAGTCCACCCACTGTACATAGGAGTCTGCAATCCGGAGATTAGATATCTATGATCAGGTTGAAAGACACATGAAGCAGTAAAGTGTCTGGACCATTGTTTGGACTAGTATTATGTGTTGGTGGAAGAACAAGAATGAATCCACTTTTAGTGGAGGACTTCCCTTGACAATTTAGAGTGTTTTTAGACCTCTATCAGTTCTAAATTTAAACTCTAATCACAAATGGTGATTCTAAAGTACGGATTGGTGTTCATTAACCTTAAGAAAGATAAATGCACACTTTGGAATCACTTATTCATGATTCCCCACTCCCAAGTAGCATGGGGTCACTTTGGTTATACTATAGTGTGCACAACTACACAGCCGGGCGAATCAAAAAAAGTTGGACGCCCCGGCGGCGCGCTAGCCCTAAGCTGCCCTAAGTGTGCCTTTACAACCACTCAAGGCGCCACCGGGATCCAAGGTCACCAAGGTGCCAATGTACCCTGCTCAATGGCGCCCGAGGCTGTAATGGCACCACCAGCCACTTACCCGGGACGTGGGATTGGGGGGCGCCAGGGTTTGGTCACCTGCAGGCGTCGCATTGACCTACAGGTCACAAGGCCGTCCTCAGGCCGCCTTATGCCATGCCCTACGGTCAAAGCGGGTGGCATCAACGCACAACGTCCTCTGAGGTGCCCAAAAGTGGTCCCGCATGGCGGGATGGCCATGCAGTCGCCTCATTGGCATCCATTGAGAGGCACCCACGCATCTGCCCTGCAGGGTGTCTTTGTGGAGACCTGCCAACTGGGCCGATTGGATTATTTTCTCCTCACTCAGACCCAATTGGATCAATGAGATTTTGGATGAAACGTTCAATTTTTTCCTGTTTTTTTTTTTCCAATCGGAGCAGCAACTGCGCTTCCTGAGGTGGATGTAGGGATTGAGGTTGCCTTTTCAGGTCAAACTTGCATGTCTTGATGATGTTGTGGTCAGTTGTCTGCTCCATCATCGGGTTGCAACAGGTAGCGGACTCAAGCAGCAGAGTTTGGGTGAGTTTGACCCTCATAGGCTGGGTCTTTTTTTGCCAAATGAGTGGTACTTTGTAGTGACAGTACGGCCCTCCTGACGTCCTCATGCAGCCATCCGGTGTGCCCAAATGGCCTTGACGCTGTCGATGTAGAGACAGACAAAATGAAGATGTGTCTGGTGAGAGTCAAACCCATGACCTCAGCTAAGCTGAGACACATACTAGAGTGCTGCCTTTACCAACTAGGCTACAGGCGCTTGTGACTGCCAGGGTAGTTGGGTGGTAGTGCTCATGGTTCAACATGTAGTGATACATCATGGTAGTAGACTATCAGACACCTCAACAGTCGAGGCGCCACAAGAACTCAACATGGTGCCACCCCATGGCGCCGCCGGGATGTGTGGCAGAACAGCGCCTCGGAGGTGTCCCCAACCTGCAGGGCAGCAACAGCGCTGCGAGTGACACCTAGCAGGCGCTGGACTCGACCGGGTGTGTACATGTGACCCTGTGTTACATGGGAGTGAAGAATCATGAATGAGTGATTCCAAATTATGGATTTATCTTTCTTAAGTTTACTGAACACAATACAAACTTTGGAATCACTCAATCATACTTCCTCACTCCCAAGTAACATG